AAACCATTTCAGGTGACTACCTCTTGAAGCTCATGGAGAGAATGCCAAGAGTGTGCAAAGCAGTAATCAGAGCAAAGGGTGGCTATTTTGAAGAAACTAGAATATAAAACATGTTTTCAGTTATTTCACCTTTTTTTGTTAAGTACATAACTCCACATGTGTTCATTCATAGTTTTGATGCCTTCAGTGAGAATCTACAATGTAAATAGTCATGAAAATAAAGAAAACGCATTGAATGAGAAGGTGTGTCCAAACTTTTGGCCTGTACTGTATGGTGGAAACAATTAGTGCATTGATCAGTTAGTCAGCAACCAATAAAGTAATCATCGGTTTTGATGATTGACTGGTTGTTGTTTATTGTTTTCTGACATTTGATTGGCCAAATTTTTAAGCAATTAATTGAGGAAATAACAGCAAAAATAATCCACAATGAAAATAGTATTTGTTGCAGCCTTTCTCTTACATTGTATGAACCACATGCTGTAGCCTAGATCTGTCTATAGCTAATGGATAGTTCTACATCAATCAATTTCATCCTCACAGTGGCCGCACCTGACCTTCTGGACCCGAAGTCTGCCACCCACAACTCCAAACCTCGCCTGTCGTTCTCGGTCAAACCGGTAGTGCTGAACACTCCAGAGGACGAGTGCGACACCCGGACTACTGTCATGAGGTGGAAAACCGTGTCAGCCATCTTCTTCTTGGTGGTGCTTTATCTCATTATTGGGGCGACGGTGTTCAAAGCGCTGGAGCAGCCTCATGAGAGCTTAAAGAAGATGGCCATTCTCGAAGAAAAACTGGAGTTCTTGGCCACGCACACCTGTGTGAACTCCTCTGAGCTGGAGGATTTGGTCAAGGTAGGTGGAAGCAGCAGCAGCATTGTATTAATAATTCAGATCCTCTGCAGGATGGTGGCAATGACTTACAGTATTTCACACAGTGTGTACAGGTTTAATAAATATTGTATACCATTCTATTTATGTTGTTTGCTTGGGGATTGTAAAACAGAGCTTCAACCTAAGGATATATTTTTTCAGCCGGTTGAATCACAGAACTAATTTGTCCATGCACATTTATTCTGTGGCCCCTGAAGGCTGTGTTGTATCAACAAATATTTATATCGGTTTTGGTTTTGGATCTTACATCTTTTATCTTTTCAATTATAAGCCATTGCACTTCAACACTTCAACACAAGAGGCCACTGTTTGCTTCCCTCCTATCCGACAGTCAATGGTGTAATTTTTAGCATGACTACGATTGTTCCCAGACCTTTACCACATGTTTGGTATTGTTACCATGACGGTGAAGATTTTGGCATTGAAAGTGGTTTTCATTCGTTGTCCGAGAAGTATTGACCAATAATGTTTTAATGATAGGTAAATGGCTCGTATAGAGAGGGGGAAAGCATTGGGTGAAATGCATTATCATAACCCATCGGCTATTGTCTGAAATTGAGTTGGCTTAACTGATGCATATTCATTTTCAATTATCAGTTTATAGAGATCAGGCGAAATGACTGGTGCACAGAGGAGGAATTCATGGCCTGGACATCAGCTTGCTACACTGGATCAGATCGAAACATTGGCCCTTGCCCTCAGGGCCTTTATTGCAAAGAGCCAATAGGTTCTATAATTGCCTTACTGTAGCTGAAGTATGAACTCTGCAGAAATAATGACAGAAAAAGTGAATAAACGTTGAAAAATATTGGATTGGACTCAGTCTGGGCAAATATTGTTACAAATGCCACATACTTCATGCAAAGGCTGTGGTTTAGGGAAAGGGACCCCACTACCCCTCTGGCCCCTGGGGCTGTGCATTGTTGATCCAGTTGCCCCGCCTCCCCCACCCCCACCCCCCAGTGCTGGGAACAAATTCAGAAATGTTGCTACAAATCAAGCCTGAATATCTCAAATTCAATTTAAGGAAAAAATAAAGCAGACAAATGATGTGAGTCATTGATTCATTTTCAATTACAAGGGTCACATAAAAATGCATTATAAATATCAGTATTGAGTGAGCAGTCTTCTAATAAAAGACATCCACTGACTTCATGACCTCGTCGCCATGGATTAGTGGATCTCACCATCAACCGAAATTGTCAGGGTTGATGAAAAACATTTCCTCCGGGGAATTCTAGCTGGCATATTGGACTTGTGGATGATGATTTTCTCCTCTAATATGCCAGAGCTGAAAGGTCTTTAAATCCAAGGGAAACCGATTTGTCCACTGATGCTAATTTTGGCCTCTTCTATAGCTGAACCCATTCCCATCAAAAGTGCCTTTTACTGTGATACCAAGGCCACCTCCAAGATCACTGCATACGTGATATGCAAGAAGTATGAAAATGCTTACTTCTCATACACTATTTGAAAAGCCTTTGGTAGAACCTTTTTGGTTATACCTATACCTACCATATATCCTAGCTCGGGGCTCTTCAACGTTTTTCAGGGAAAGGACCCCTTTATTGTATTAAACTGAGTTGCATATTATACTGGTCCTACAACAGCCAATGCATTTTAATAGTATGTAACTCTTGGCTAACTAGTTCGCCTCACTGTTATGGACAGGTGCTTTTCCAGGACGGACAGATGGGCAGTAGATGTGTGTACAGAACAGATCAACATAATAAATTTACAGTAATCCCTATGACAAAAATGATACACAGAGAGACAGAGACAGAGAGAGATGCACAGCAAACAGTACTGACAATAGCTACAATAACATTAATTTAAGTAGTAGTAATAAAAATAGTAATATCTTTGGTAGTATATATGTTACATGTATATATTAATATATGATACTATATGTATGTGACAGTAAAAATCATATGTGTATGATAAAACTAGAAGTATGACTTATAATAATAGCAGTAGTAGCAGGCATTAGCCAGGACCACAGCGGCAGTGTAACCACAACCCATGATCCAGGCATAGCCGCGATTTGAGAGAACCTGCGAGACATTGGAGCACAAAGACTCTGAAGAACAAGATGAGTTAGTGACATGAATGTTAGCAAATAAAGAAGAACCAACATTTCAGAATGAAGAGAGCATGCAACAGAGAGGGAGAAAAGTGGCTTAGTGTATCACAGGAGGTCCCCTGGCAGACCAGGGCTATATCAGCCTAACTAGGGGCTGGTTCAAGGCAAGCCTGAGCCAGCCCTATGAGCACAGTCCATGACCAAACGTCGATATGTGACGAGGTCGGAGTGAGAACGTGTTGGCTCTATCTATAAGCTTTATCAAAAAGGAAAGTCTTAAGTCTACATTTAAATGTGGAGACAATGTCTGCCTCCTGGACTGAAACAGGACAATGCTTTCACGGAAGAGGAGCCTGATAGCTAAATGCTCTGGCTCCTGTTCTACTTTTGGAGACTTTAGGGACCATGAGTAACCCTGCATTCTCAGAGCGCAGTGTTCTGGTGGGATAATAGGGCACTATGAGCTCTCTAAGATATGACGGAGCCTGACCATGTAGAGCTTTGTAAGTGAAGAAGATTTTAATTCAGTTTTGGATTTTACAGGGAGCCAGTGCAGAGAAACTAAAACAGGAGAAGTATGATCTTTTTTCTTAGTTCCTGTCATCGTACTTCTACAAGAGCAAAAATACCATTAGAAACATGAAATATTTGAGGGTGAAAATCTTTTGCACCATGCTGTCAACAATCCTTGAAGAAATCTTTCTTCCAAAAAGAGTTCTTTGGATGAAAATTGTTTCTATTGAAACCTCAGTCTTACAAAGAACCATTGAAAAACCCTTCCTTTAAAACAGGATTCTTTGAATGAAAAGGGCTCCTCAGAACCAAATGGTTCAGCTCTTCAGGAAGAACCTTTATTTCTAGGAGTGTACGGGATGTAAGTCAAACTTCTTATGCAGTATAATGATACAGTATAGCTGTAATCTATATGATGAGAAGAATTACTAATCATGTGAAAAATATTCATATGCACAAACTAGGGCTGGGCGATATGCCCTGAAAACTATATTATGATATTTTTAGGCTATATCTCAATACATGATATATATCTTGATATTTTTAAATCTCCTCAAAAAGCACTTCATCAGTGCTAGGACTGGGAGACAAAATCGAACATGACAATATTTCTGACCAAATACTCTCTGATGCAAAAAAGTTGTATGAACGACTACTGTTATTTTTATGTCATATCACGATACAACAATGTCCAAAATCTAAGAGGATATATAGTCTTATATCTCAGTAACAATATAATATCCTTATATTGCACAGCCCTGGTAAAAACTGCAAAAGCTGCTGAAAACTATTTGACTAATGAACTAAAAGTGATTGTTAGTTCATTTATTTCTCTTCTCACGTATTAATTTATGTGGAAATTAACTGTCAGGTTTACATACCAGATTTTTTCTATAACAAGGCTCCAAAACCCTTTTTTTTTTTTTCTTTTACATCCTTCTCACGATGCAGCAGTGCAGAACTGAAATTTCCATTTCTCGCCTATATAGCACAGCGCAGGATTTTCATTAATGAGGAAGTTTGTACATTGGAGTTTGGCTCAGACTCAGGCTCCAGTAGAGCCACTCTAATTACACTGACATTCAGGACGTTGCATTATTTCTTATGGCACTGCATCAGTGTAGACTCTGATATGGATTAAGTCTCATGATGGGTAAAAAAAAACCTTACTGTAACAAGCAAGCATTCTTGTTTTAAATGCATATGCCTTCTGGTAATTATGAGAAAACTTTAAGCAGATAGTATGCTGATTCGTCCTCACTGTTGAGTTGCATATTCACCCTTAACCAGAGTAGAACGTATTATTTCTATATTATGTATTTATGTTTTCCATCTTCTGGGTTCAATATTAGAGATATGGTGGCTTTTTGGTTAAATATTTATACCTTAGATTTTCAGTCATGTTTAAATTTAATAAGACGCAGAATCATTGATTGTGATCCAGCTGATGTTGCAGCTCTTTCAGTTTTACTTCAGGAACTGTTTTCCACTGTGTTGGCATTCAGTGACATTTACAGTATGAGCTCTGACCATATTAAAATTGACCCAAGCTGACTAGATTACTGAGTGATGTTCACCTCCTACTGTATGTAAATGAGACTGTTTTCAATTACTGTAAGGAGGGCTGGGAACAGATGGCAGTTATTTGGCTTTACGATGCTGAGTTGATATTCAAAGATGGTGATGATGAAGATGACACTTTGTGTGCTAAGATCATCATCTGTCAGATTGACTGATGAAAATTATGTCGTGTCAGGAGTGGGCTTAATGCATGTGGGGCCCTGCCTGAAGGAAGGCAGCTGGCTCCTTCGCAGCGCAATCTAAGCCACCCCCTTTCATTCATATTACCATAAACATACAGTGTTACAGCGACATCAAAGCTGCTGTAATGTAAAGAAAGACTGATACTTAAAAGCAAATGATTCTTTAAATAGTTGCTGTTATTCAGCATGTGTTCATCACATCATCATCATCATCATTCACCTCATTTTTGTTATTTATCCCCACCCTTGGCAGCCCATTAGTTGGCATATAGCAGTGACCATAATTGCTACTGTTGCTTTTGGCCAGTGGTGAAAAGACTTGACTTGGCAGAGATGATGTAGGTTGGAGGCAGCAAAAATAATGGCAGCAGTAAACAACAGCAACAGTTGATTAGTCCATTACGAAAGTATAGTTGGATAAGATGGGGGAAGATGCCCCAACCCCTTAATTCCTCTCCTAACCAATATACAGCACTAAATCTGCTCTCAATACATGTTTGAATGGCTATGCTATAGTGAATTCATTCTTGAGATTTATTTCACCAGTTAGAAAGGGGGCAAAAACTTCAAGGGGCATCCTGCCTTACAATATTATTTAGTTA